GAACGAACAAACTGAAATAATCAGACAATTTTCAAAGTATCCTTAAATTTTAAGTCAAACTAGCAATCCACCCCAATCAAGAATTAAAAAAAACAATTAGTTATTTATTTAGGTTATAAAACAAGAGGTTGTTGGAGAGTTTACAATTTCTACTCGTACTAGAATAGATTTAATGACCTGGAGAAAATTATGAACATTTTCTAATAATTCCAATCAGGCATAAATAACAAGGTGTTGCTTTTATGACCACGAAGAGAGATTGTTGAGTGTAGAAATCTGGAAAGAACACCAAGTCTTGGCATAGCATTACAAAAGAAATCAGTTCAATATCTGTAGACTGCTTTTATAAAATTAGCAAAATGCAAAGCAAATCTATATAAAATATCGGTGTGCATTTCTCATTTAATTTGCCATAAAAAAAAAAAAAAAAAAAAAGGACCAAGAAATTTATCACAAAACAAAAGGAAAAGGAGTAAGTTTGTTTACGCCACTCACGAAAACATTCATCTGAATCACCTATACCTAGAAAACAAAAATTCATACTGTCGGTTTTAAAACATTTTTTTTAACAATAACATCACTTAAAAAAAAAAAAAAAAAAAAATTAAAAAAAAAGATTAAATTTCAGGTTAAAACTTGAAACTATTCCATTGTGAATGGAAGTCTAAAAAAAAAAAACAAAACGACTGAAACAGTCGCTAGTTGAAAGTTTAATTTATGATAAGTGGAAAAAAGAAAAGCTGCGCTTGCAAGTTCCCTTTTTCTTTGTTTGTGAGGAAAGCACTGCTACTGTAGCAAGAAGTCTCAAGTGAGTTCGACTGCAGACACGACTTGGTGTTATTTTCACAGCACGTGACTGACGGAAATGGTCAGAGGGTTAAAAAATTAAATACAAGCCTAAATGTTGTACAATTAATTCCTGAAGGAACATCAGGAAAAAATTATATATATATTTTTTTTTTATTTCGATTCACTAATGAATATCGATATTTTTTCTAAAGTGTTTTTTTTTTTTTTTAATTATAGAATGGAATGCATATCCAGACAAGAATCATTATTCTTTAAATTTGGAATTGGGTTGTTGACTAAGTTCATTACGAAATGGAAAAAAAAACATTTTTTTTTTCAGTCTTACATTGAACATTTTCAATTTAAAAAATAAAGAAAATAATAAAAAGAAAAAAATTAATTAAACTCTAAAAATCAAGTCTTAAAGTTAATCCAAAAAAAAAAAAAAAGCAAAGGAGTTTCTGTTTTAGTTGCTTGACAGTGAAGAACACAAAATAGTGTAAAATGTTTAATTCGGAATTCTGTTGAATTTGGTTTGATTTATTTATTTATTTATTTTACAAGTGACTTAAAAAATATGTAGACGTTGAATTAATGATTAAAAAAAAAAAAAAAATAACCAGCTTGAAATCAGAAATCTTCAAAAATAAAAAATAAATAGTAAGAAGCCCTATTATCGTAAAAAAGACAAATCTTTTTTTTTCTGTTGGTGTGTGACTGAATTAATAAAAAAGCGCCATTTAGATTGGATTAACGTAACCCAAGAAGATAGAAAAGAGAAAATATGAAAAGACAAATTCACTGATGAGGGAATTTTGTTTTTTTTCTGTAAAGTAAATAAATAAAGACATAGGGAGCAGTTTTTTTCTTTTGTTGCATATGCCAGCTAAAATGTTGTCTTAAAAATATAAACTAGACGAGCCACTTATAAGTTTAAAAAATTTAAAAAAAAAATAGTATTCGCAACTTAGCATTTATGGTGAAGAGCAGCTGACATAAAAAAGTAGGTAACGTTCACATTTAGTAAACCAGAGACCTTTGAGGAAAGAAAGAAAAAAAGCTGGAAGGAAAGAATGCAAATAAAATTCGTTTATGTAAAGCGCTCAATTCTTCTGTCATTCTATTGTCAAAGAACTGTAATTAGAACAAAATACTAAAACAGTAGTAGTAGTCTTTACTATTATTATTATTTGGGCTTACCAGAGAAATGATTTCTCTTTTTAACCTCATAGTGTAGCAGTCAAAAGGCTGTTTGTTGTTGATATTATTACAAATAGTCATTTTTTTTTTGAAAATCAGGATTTGAGCAATTTTTTTCGAATTATGCCAATAAAGAAACTTTAAAACAGGCTTTTTTATTTTGTTTTACTTTTTAAATATTAATAGTTAAATAACTTTACATCAGGTTTCCCCCTCTTTGTAAAACAAAGAGATTGTTTGCTTGGATTTGCTGTTCTGCGATTCTAGCAGCTTGGTTGGTATAATTTTATATATATATATATTTTTTTTTTTTTTTTTTTTTCCTTCCTGTCCATTCATTCATGTCACCCATGACAGACTTTTTTTTTTTCCTCATAATCTAAATTCCCCATTAACAGTTCTGACGAGAGGGGACGAAACCGGTCGACTGTTGTGTTTTATTTTAAACTTATCGTATTATGTGTAGAGTTTGTGTGTTTGTGGTCTGACTAGTGTGTTTGTTTTTGCTAGTATGTTTGTATATATTCATTCTCCATACATGCTATGTATTATATTAATATAAAGAAATCTATGCAGTAACTACATCTATCTTGTATTGTGTGTGTGTGTGTGTGGTCCAACTAGTATGTTTTACTACTATGTGTGTATGAAGTGTTTTTATGTGTGGGGTTATGATTTGTCTAGTGCTGGATCAAAATTGTCTATGAAGGTTTTTTTCTTGTATTTGTAGGTAACAGTACTCATCTGTTGTTTGATATATTGACATAATTTTAAATTTACCTTCGCTACATTTGTGGATGTGTTGGGACATAAAGAGTTTCCTGTTGTCTGGTAATTTAATTTTGCTTTTTTGAAAGGAAATTCTGTTGTTTAGTGTTTTGGTGATTTAGGATTTGTTGTATTTTATGTAAATGAGTAAATTTATTCAATAAAATCACCATTGGCTTCAATCATGGCCTCCAGATGACTTTGGAATCTCCTGCAACTCTTCTGGGCAGTCTCCTTCTTTAAGTTGGTAAATGCTGCCATAATCCTTGCCTTCACTTCATCCTTGGTATTTCAAGTTTTTTTGTTGGTCTCTTGCTCAACTGCGCCCCATACATAATAATCTAAGGGGCTACAGTCTGGGGAGTTAGGTGGCCAGATGTAAGGAGTGATGTAGTCACAGAAATTGTCTGACAGGCATAACTGAGTTTACCTGCTTGTGTGTCATGGTGCAGAGTCCTTTTGCCAAACATAGGGTCTTCCAGCAGCTACCCTCTTGATACAGAGCAGCACAGAGTCTTCGTGTCAAACATGTTGTAGTATGGCCTATATAATTATGAATTTTGATAGATCAAGAATACAATTCCTTAATGGGCATTTAAAATAATGAATATTTGCTCTATTTAATCTTGTTCTAAGGGGTGAATTATTATTTTTAACTATAAGGTTAGAGGTTTTAAATTTTTTGTAGTAAATAATTAATGTAATTTTTTTTGCTTTTGTCAACTGGTGTTGTGCATTTTTTTTATAATGTTCTTAATTCTACATTATACATGCAACAAACTATTTCTTATTTAACAGTTAAAATATTTCATCCTTGAAAATGGCTAAATGTATAGCCAAAAGCACTTGGAAAAAAGAACATTTAGATAGTTTTTATATAATTTATCATCTGAAAAAAAATTATTAGTTTGCATGAGAAATTGTATAAAAAAGGAAATCAAAACACCTTGTCTATCATATTCAATGAAATGTGCATGAAAGAAGGACTGCTGCCTAAATACACACATACACATATATATACACACACGCACAGAGTTGTGGACAGTTATTCACCCTCCCTTTCATAATTACAAATAAAACTATAATGTCTCAAATTTTCATGGAAACTTCGTGTGCATTCTTTCACAAATGATGAAATAATGGATTTGAAAGGATGTGCAATGTTACCCACAACAAATTTTTTCTTTTTTATGTAAAGCAATAATAAAAATCTCCAAAAAACATTTTACATAGGACAAAATTATTGGCCTGCTTGCTTCAGTAATCAGTTGTGTAACCTTCATTATTGATTATTGCCTTTAACTATTTTTGATAGTTCCTTACAAGGTCACTACACATACTGATAGTTATTTTGCTCCATTCTTCCTTGGCAATAGCTTCTAGTTCCTCTAAATTTGAAGGACTTCTTTCTCCTACTTTTTTCTTCAAATAGGCACATAAATTTTCAACAGGGTTTAGGTCAGGTTGGGTATGCTAATACCTTAATTTTGCTGTTATCTATTTTGTAACAATTTGTGCCATGTGTTTCAGGTCATTGTCATGTTGGAACATCCAGTGGTGCCCCAAAGACAGCTTTCATGCCCTTTGTTTTATATTATATTTAAGAATAGCCAAATACTGCTCTTTATCCATGAGATCCTGTACTCTCACTAGTTCTCCTGGTCCAGAAGCAGCAAAACATCCCCTGAGCAGAATGCTCTCACCACTGTGCTTAATTGTATTTTTTTTGGTTTGTGAGCTTCACTTACTTACCTCTATACATAACAGGAGTTCATGTGACCAAATAATTCTAGTTTGGTTTCATCTGACCAAAAAAAGAGTCCTAATATTTATTCCCATATTCTAGAAAGCTTCTAGCATAAACCAATCTGCATTTTAGGCATATAGCCTTAAGCAAGGGAGTTTTCCTTGGGTGATAAGCTCGAAGCCCTGCTCAGTGAATGCATCTAGTGACTGTCTTCAGCGATAGATACATTCAACCCTAATGTCTTTACATCATTGTTATGTTGTAAAAATGACAACATTTTAAATATATTTTTCCAGCTATTGTTATTATTTTACTTTGCTTTACATTCTCAGTCTTTTCATTTCCCTACTTAACACCGTGAAACAGCCTGCCTTTGTCATAAAAACACTACTAACTGGTGACTTCACTGCAAAGAAAATAAATCTAGTACAGGAAAAAGATACAGATATTATACACAAATCAATGTTTTTGTTCTATTTTTTTTTTATCACTCTAGGCTCTACCAGCAGTTTTACTGCTTCAAATGATGACCATGACTCCAATGAAGGTGATCTCATGTCTGATGACTCTAGTGAATCTGGTGCTGATGAAGACTACTTCTCTGATGCAGGTAACCTCTTAGCTTTTAACCCAATAATGATTTTATAAAAAAAGAAATGATGTACAAAATAAGGAAATTGTTTTTATACATCATTGTTAGCAAAATTGAGTAACAATGCATTTCATAAGTTCTAGATTGCTTAACATTTTAACCATGTCAGATATTCAATGTTTTCTACTAAAATTTTGTAATTTTTCTTTGCTAAGCCATTTGTTTCAAATAACATAGCACTAAATTTTTCTTATCACAAATTTATAGTTTATTATATATTTTTAAAACCTGAATATTGAGGATTTTCATTCTAGTTTCATTTAAATAAAGATAGTTGCTTTATTCAGTAAAATCTGTAATATGATGTGTAACCATCTCAGATATAAATCATTATTTAAATGTGTAACATGGGAAAGTTCTCTTTTTTAATATTTGACTTATAAAAGGTAAGATCCCCTACTGCTTACTGAAACTATGAATCACTTATGAGAAATTTAACTTTTTACACTAATCATAGCAGTTTGATCACTATATTCAGTCTATATAGTTTGTACATTTTCATTTTTTGATTTTGCACATAACAGTAAAAAGCACTGTATTTTAATGCCCTTTATGTTTCTGTGTGTGTGTAATATATATATATATATATTTCCAGAAAATAGTGCACAAATAGTTAACTGAATCTTGTCAAAACTTTCTGACTTTCCTCTTTTCTTTGAACAGACTCTGCTCATAGTCAGAGTTCTTTTGGAAAGGAGACACAAGCAGGCTCAGCTAAGAAAAAAGAGAAGCAATATTTTTGGCAGTACAATGTCCAAGCAAAAGGCCCAAAAGGTCAGAAGATGCAACTACTGCCCCATGATCAGGACCCTCATATTCTCAATACATTTGAGGACCCTGTGTTTGAACTTGGGGCTACATCCAAGCTGGGTTTGCGGCACAGTGGTAAGGCTCGACGTGGAGATGGCAATGACATTTCCCCTAACCCAAGAAAACTTCATATGATTGGACTACAACTGAAGAAGTTGAACCATGACATCAATGAGTTTGTACCAACAAGTGAATTGCCAGCCAATTTAAGAAATAGGACAAGAAAAGAGAAGAACAAACTAGCTTCAAGGTATTTATTATTCCTTTGGAAAGAAGTTGTTTTAATCTGATTTTACCATTAGGCTCTTGAAAAAAAGTTGCAGTTATTAAGTCCTGCTATACAGTAGTGAATTTTCAGTTGTTAATTAAAAGTATCAATATTTAATCTTTAATTTCCACTAATCTGGTACTACAAAGATGTATAGAGTTGTAGTAAGTTCACAGTTTGTAATCAGGAAAGTTGGCTTGTCAGAAATGTTCCTTTGGAATGATCATACTAACAGGATGAAATAAAGAAGTTTCAAACCAAACTAAACAATGACAAGTATTTATTTCCTGCAAATTCATTGTTTTTTGCCAAATTTGATATGAAAAGTTTATTGTTGGCAATGATTGTGTTAGGTTGTGATTGTGAAATGTTAGGTAAATGGTACTATAGGGAAAGGGAATAGAGTTCTGGATGACGTCTTCTGGTTTTAAACTTGATGTAACTGTGAAGGTCAAAACAGGCTCCAAATTTTTATGGTCTTCATTGATGTCTTGATTTGTAATAAAATATTTGTTTCTCTATCAATTTTTATGGTCTATGAGAACTTGTTGTTTCAACCCTGTGTGTTACTAAAATTTACTCCTCTCATTTGAATTTTGAAAAAGGAACGATATAGTTCCATACAGATTTTGAGGAAGAAAGAAAAAGTGTGTGTATATCTTAAAGGAGAATAGCAGCTATAAAAAGTCTGTTGCTAATAGTCAGAAATTTGGGGGACACATAAAGAAAAAAGGAGGCTTGGAGAATTTAACATTCATAGGAAAGCAGTGAGTAAACTAGAGAAGTTTGAGCAAATGAACTGAGGAACAAGTTAAAAAAAAAAAACAGTTGTAAGAAAGCAAATATTACTGAAATAAAAAATAATAGGAAACTGGAAAAACATGATAGCTCCCATCCTGAAAGAACATAGCACATAGAGAGATGTAACTATTTTATATTTAAAAGTAAAGTAAGCAGTCACTCTTGGAAAACCACTAGTTTTGTGGTTTATTTGTAAGAGCTTTACTCAGAATGAAGTATGATGCAGTGTAATGCAGGAAGCTAAGACTTCAGTCATGTTACTAAATGACAATATTAAGATTAAGAACTTATTTATATTGCTTATCCTGCACCAGTTATTTTATGGGTATTTTTGATCCAACTAATACACTATTTTCTCAGTTGTTTATCCATTTACTTACTAAAGTTGATTTCTAATGGTCGTTATATTTGATAATAAATCATATAATTTTCTCTTGATTCCTTACAGAGCTTGTCGTTTGAAGAAAAAAGCCCAGCATGAAGCTAACAAAGTAAAATTGTATGGACTAGAACAAGAACACCGTGAGTCATTGAATTAACATGTATTACATCAATGAATAACTGTTTCAACAGACTGTTTATATAAATGAGAAAATTATTACTTAATGCATATTCCTATTAATGGTTTAAATGTAGTTCTCTTCCAATTCAAATTATTAATTAAAAGAATGTGAACATTTATTTTTCAGTTATTTATTGTATTCCTTAACTTATTAAATTTATTTTGTATTTTATTTAATTTGAAAATTTAAATATTTGCACCTATTTTGACTAGTAGCCACATTTATATAAAATCATGTACACTAAGATATTTTTTATATCACCTCAAATTGAATGAAGAGAGGTTACAGGATTTACTCTTATTTAACACACTATTACAGAGCTGTCAGTAGACATGAGAACTAAACTTTTTAAAGGCTATACGGTGCCTCATTCTGTTAGCAAACAAAGACATAGCATCATTGAGGACATGTTTACAATTATTAAGAGAAGACACAGTTGTCTATTGTGATCAGAACTATCTTCTTGATACAGTTGGAAAAAGTGGTTCTTGTGAGCTCTAGTAGCTGAACAGGCAGGTGTGGTAACCTTAATGGCACAATTTACAATAAGAAAGTTAAAAATTTCACTTCAAGTGGCATCATGAGGAAAATAACAAAATGAATCATTGTGCTGATATATAAATGAGTAAAAAAAATAGCAACAGACACTACAGCATGATCTGAATTGTCAAGAAGACAGACTTGTGATGATGAAAAAAGCTAGGAGATGAGATAAAAAAACAAATCAAGTAAAGAAGCATGTTGATCAGAATTATTAGGGAAATCTATTTGTCTGGGAGAAATTGAAAGTCACAATGCTAACAACATCAGTAATGGTACTGATTACTAGAATGATTAAGTCACTTGAAATGATAAGCATTAAAATCACAAAACACAAAGTTATTTACAGATGAAAGTAGAGAGAGAGCCATCTCAATACTGTCAGATAGTTTGTCTAATGTCACAGTCCTGAGAAGGAGCAACAAAGGAAAAAGAGATAGCTTACAGAATTCAATAAAAAAAAGTCAAAAGCACATAAAAGTATCATCTGTGGACTCAAGGGAGGATTTCCTTGTCATAGAAAAATTTTCCCAGATGTAAACACCAAGGCCATGCATATATATGCTAGAATCTTTTTAACAATGAGGAAGATAGCCTGGAACAGAGAATTTATTGATAGCAATAGAAAGGTTTAAATTTGTTTTGCAGAGCACTTAGATAATTGGAGAATATTTAAAGAAAAAAGATTCTATATGATTGAAATTGGTATGAATGCCAGAAATATTAAAGAAAGAAAGGTTGAGGAAGGGTAGGTGATTTTTTTGCTTACTGGTTTGCTCTCATTTGTTTTAATTGTAACTATCATGAGAAGATTATTTTAATTTTCAAGCAGAAAAAGGCCAAAATGCTTATCACTATCCATCGTCTATGGCAATGCAAACCAGCTGCAAAGATGGCTAAGACTAAAGCATAATCTGACCTCAGAGCATTCCCTCTAAATGCTACCAAAGAGTTTGGTCTCCTTGCTACTAGTTTGGATGCAGCAACCAGAAAAACTGCCAACCTGATACCCTCAAAATGAAAAGTCACAGCCAATGATCAGACAAATCACCAAAAAGTTAAGACAGTTAAATCATTAAGGCTATGGAAGAAAGGATCCAGTAAACCACATCTTAAGCAGGAAACAAGGGATAAACCCCTACTCATGTTCAATAAACATAAAATGTGTATGGGCCAGGTGGTGAATCTATCTACTCCTATTAACCTGTTCACAGCACAGGAGGCAGCCCACTTTTATTGAGATACCATCTCTAGGAAGGTTGCCAAACAAGGCTCTAGACCCCTTCCCAGACAAGGGGGAATTACTAAATATGAAAAGCACTCAGAAGGTTACTCCAGTAATTGAATTCTAAGGAATTTAACATAAAAGTAGATCATTTTAATTTCAAGTACAAGATTAAAGTTAAAATTTATTAAAGTTTAGTAACTATTGAAGTGATCTTGTTGGTTATAGCTTCTAATAAATAAGGTAATATAAACAATAGCTGAATAAATAATAACAAATAATCATCACTTTATTTTTTTATAAATTTATTCATTTTGAAGAAGTAATAAAAACAAACAAACAAAAGAAACAGCAGCATTAGATTTTCATAGCGTGTAACCTGTTAGGCTTTAAAATACTGCTATAATTTATTTTATCTTGAGCAAGTCAATCTTTATTATACAGTGTAGGGCAGATAAATCATGAAAAAGTTAATGGATAATAAAAACGGCATTTTTTTATATAACAAATTAATATATTTCAATAAAACTTTATATGCATTTACGACATATATAAGGTACAAAAATCACTTGATATGGCCACCAGTTTCTCCAGACTGGACTGGAAGCTGGGGCAGACCTTGGTGACATCATCCCTGTCCATATTGACCATGGCTTCCCTAATGGTTACGTTGAGAGCCTCTTTGGTATTGTAGGGCCTACTGTTCACCACCTTCTCAAAGCACCCCCACACAAAATAGTCAAGAGGATTGCAGTCTGGTAATGAGGCAGGGTGGTATAAGTCAGGTGACTTATGGTGAGCAAGTGGTGCCTCTTGAATTCAAGTCCTCCTTGACAATACACCCAACTGTTCACCTGCTGGTACCCATTTCCTTGAAAATTTTCCTCATGCTTTTGTTGGGGTTCTTCCTGACAATGTTGGCAATGAACTTGGGTGTCCTGGTGGTGCCAGAGCACTTCTTATGTGTCTTGCATTCTGACCTGAAATTGTCCTTGTCATCTGAGGCCCCATATAGTGATTGGGGATACATCCTCTTGGGAGTCTGTTACACAGATTTGCTGTTTTTGAGTGGAATTTCCTTCTTACTAATGTAATGCAAGCAGGATAGAGATGATTATTCCCAGTGTATTTGGCATGGTGGGTCTTATCTGTGAAGATCTGAGCTGGTGGAACTAAGGAATGTAGCTCATCCAAACATTTACCATGGAAATAGCATTAGAGTAGAGTATCTGTGGGATAGGAGTCTAGGCAAGGGACAAAAAGGGAAGATAATTCAGAAAGAATGCATGGGTAGAATAACAGATATTGGCACAAAAAGTGGAATCAGCAACGTGAGATTAAACTCTAACCTTGTCTGTAATGTTCACTTTCCTCCCACAGCTATGGGTTAAATAGCAGAGTAGACTGGATGCTCTGGCCTTGAGTGGTATCCAGTCTAGGAGAGAGATTAATTTGAATTCAAAGTGTGAATAAGACAATGGGAAACTACTGGACTATATTTTCCAAGTTTACTCCTATCTAAGTAGCAAGTCCAGCAGATCCAACAAGGAAAATTTGGTAACTGCTCTCAAAAAAGGACCCCCAATCAGTGGTTAACTGGTACAAGAAGCGGCTTATAAGTTTTAATGCCTCAAAATAAAACTGCGCTCATTTAATCACCACAGAAAATATTTTCTACCTGCCATCAGCATGACTGATGCAAATCTCTATGTGAGCAACATTCTATACCTTCCTGGGCTTTCCACTGATATGAAGCGGATTGACTATATTGAATCAATTGCTATGTCTACTATAAGGAAAGTTGGTTCACTGTGTCATGCCAGAAAATTTTTCTCATCAGAATCTATCTTGCACATTTATATATTTACCATTCATTCATGCATTGAATACTGCTACCCCAAGTACTATAGCATTAGATATTTTGAGGGCCTTTGACAAGAGGTGGTACAAAGATTGCTGCTCAAGCTCTCTAGCTACAGAATCAGTGGAAGAGCCTTAATAATAAATTTCCTAGCAAGTAGATCCCTGAAAGTAGTTGTTACCAGCCAGTCCTCCGGGGCCCTAGTAATCAATGCAGGCATCCCTCAGAGGTCACTTCTTAGACCAACCCTCTTTTTACTTTACATAAATGATCTGTATACTCAGATCATTTGTGAATATCTATGCTGATAATATAACGATATATGGGTGTACCTCCAAAATTCATGATGTCCAGAGATTGGCAGTTGATCTCTCATCTGATCTAGCTGTAACATCTCAGTGGGGGAGAAACTGGCTGGTTACATTCAATACCTTGAAAACCAAATTAGTTACATTCCATCATTGCTGATTGTGGAGGCTTCATGCCTTGAGAGACTAATTGGACCTTAAACTAACCCCAGACCTCAAGTGGAACTCATACATAAGATCCATCACTAAAGATTCAGGAAAAAAGTGTCAGTTCCCTGTACTGGTCTAGTAAGTACCTGACTCCACATCCTATACTCTACCTTTACAAGAGCCAGACCAAGCCTAAAATGGAGTACTGTTATTATATTTAGGTAGGAGCTACCAAATCCTCACTTTCCAGTTTCAATGGAGTTCAAAAAGCATCTCTGTGTCCTTGTGAGTAACAAATTATTTTCCACCCTGCAACCCCTCTTTCACAGATGGGATGTGGCAAGCCTCTCACTACTCTATCGTTACTTCCATGGAGAGTGCTCAGATTAGTTGCATTCCTTTGTTTTCACTAGTTCTAACCTTCACAGCTGGGACCCACCATGCCACTCACATTGTAGCAAACTACTTTCATTCCCTCTGTATTCCATTGGTGAGAGATAGGTTTCACTCAGCTTCTTCCCACAAACTGCTGCTCTGTGGAGCTGACTCCCAGGAGGATGTTTTCCCAATCACTACAGTTTTGAGCTGTTCTGGTCTTGGATTGGCCATTGTTTTCCCCACCTATCTGCATAAACTCTGCCTCTTACTCTGTAACCCTCTACTTCAAGTGGCCTCTGGGCCTTGTACAGGGTGAACCTCACTGTAAAATAAATAAATAAAAATATCTGGTCTAGTGCTCCTGTTATATATCTCAAAATTTTTGACAAAATTCAAAGAAGGATCTGTAATGTAAACAATCCTGACCTGGCAATTTGACTTTTGTCATTTTATCACTGATATGACATGTCTTCCCTCTGTCTTTTCTACAAATATTTTTATGGTAGCTGTTCTAATGAACTTTTTTCCTTAGTGCCTAAACAACATGAATTTAAGAATGCTACTTCTTGGTATTTCTATTCTAATAGTTTCTTTTCTCACACTTCTCACCTGTGGAACTCCCTTCCAATTTCTTGCTTCCCTGCCACTTACAATCTTCAAATGTCAATTGCCATCTTCTGTCTTCCTGAATCTGATTCCTTTATGATCCTTTCTCTTCACTTCAGTCTTCTCATTCTCTTTCACTCCCTATAATCCCCTTCGTTCTAGTGGCATTATCACTTTGCTTGGGGTAAAATGTTTAAAAAATAAAATTTAAACCATTCAATCATTTCCTTGGCTTTGTGGCCAGTGTGAAGGCTCTCCATGACAGCAGCTCAGCAATCATATTCTGAAGACATGTTGATTACTAAGCAACTCATATGTCAATTGCCAGAGAGCTACTGAGGTGTAATACTATCTAATTGTGTTTTTGAAACTTTGCTATACTGTGACATCATGGCATTGTTGTCACATAAAAATTTCAGATTTATCTGCACCACACTGTATATTAAACAATGTATAATAATAATAATAATAATAATAATACCTTATCTCAAAAATTCAAGGAGAAACTAAGTGTCATGCATTATGTTATATATTCTATTCGCAGTGACTATTATTTGTAGATTATATCTATTTTAAGTTGTATTGTGTTTGCAGGTCAGTTGATGAATGTTATAGAAAGTGTGAAACTGAGGATGTTGGCTGCTGTTCGATCTGATAATAGTATAAAGTCTGAGGATGGCCAAATTTGCCATGGTACAGGAGATGAACAGACCAAATATGTGGAAAAACTCATCAAGTTGCATCAGTGTAAGTAACAAGATAGTTTCTTCATTAAATTTCTTATTTCTTAATAACTTTAAAGTTAGTTTTATAACCACTACAGTCAACTGAAACATCAATGCCTATATTAATACCTTCACTATCTTTTTGAAAAATCAAAAAAGTACTTATCAGCAGTTATTAATAATTTTTAACAAATTATAAAAGAAAGTGTAGAAATGCATTACAAATCTTGACAAAACCTGATATTTAAAATGATAGAGTAAATTGTTTGTGTGATTAGATTTTAGAATATCCAGCATTTTCTCTTGTTGACAATGAGCAAGTTCAAATAAGGCCCTTTGTTTAAAGAAAAGTATGTATACTTACAAGACAAACAGTTTATGATTTACTAAAAAGGAAAGAGTAAATAGTGGATTAAGTTTGAAATTAATCAACTGGTATTTTGTAACAAAAACAACTGTAATAAATCTCACTGAAAAACATTAAATCTATACCAAAGAGTAACATTATTGTCAAGAAACTTTTTTATTCTACTCAGTTTACTGTTTTATTCAGATTAATTTTTGTTTGTTTTTATTTTTATTATAATGCTTCAGTCAGTGTACATTCTAACCTTCCTTAAAGTTCATCAGTTCAAAATGCAGAAACTTATTTTCACTAGATATGTGCATTGCTTCCATCTAGTGTCTTTGTCAGTGAGTTTTGGAACTGCCTTCACCTAACCCAGCCTGTGATCTTCCAATAAATTAAGTGAATTTTACCATCCATGTCATTTTTGGATAAATTTAAAAATCAGGAGTAGTTGATCATGTGCAGTAGCATAGAGGGGTACATCAACCTACATTCAATGAAGTCAAAATAATAAACAGAAATATATATATATATATATATATATATATATACACACACACACACACAAACTGTACTCAAGTTATGTGATCAACTGACCATATATGGATATCAACAGTATGTGAGAACAATTGATCAAAAAAGAAAAATGATCAATTTGAGGTTTCAAAATCATAGAAGACCTCAAAAATACAAGAAACAAAAATGTGTATATTATATAAAGACAGTTCTAAGAACTTACAGGTAAACACCAAGTATGATGAGTATTGGAAGGAAAAATATATATTCAAAACAACATTTGATATTTGAAAATTAATACAAAACAAAATAACAATAAGCTAAAACTTGGAGGAATTTACTCTACATTGCTACAAAGAATTCATAGGAGAAACTTTAAGGAATTTGAATAAAATATTATATGAACACAAAAAGGGGTCTTTTACAAAACAACACACTCATTGCATTAGTTGTTCACCATAATGAGTGACCATAATTTTGATTTACAAATGCTACTTAAATTAAAATAGAAAGCAATTTACTAAGAGGAAAAGTGTATAGAAAGTAATTTAATCACTAGATAGTGATTAAATTATTTTCACAGTAATTTTGTGTCTAGGTTCTTACAACATTTCACCTCTCTTGGCAGATCTTCTATTATCACAATGTGGGATACTTAATAACAAAAATGATAACAACATAAACAAAAAGAAACTAAATGAAATTGGCTGGAGTATATGCCCAAAATATAATTAAAAAATATATATTTAAGTGTTTCAAATTTTACTGTCTCTTCTCTTTTATTCACATGTGTAGTCATATCAATGTAAACTTTAGTGTGATGAGGTCCTAAAGGACAAAATATAAAAAAAATTTCTACTTGATTTTCCTATCATTGTCTGAATATATAAAAATTTATATATCTTTTTCCCATATTTCAAAATACAAGACACTCAAAAATTGACAGAAGGTACAGTTGCCAAAACATGAAAGGTAAAAAATGAACAAATAAAGAAAAGTAATTTAGTCCAAATAATTTAAAACTATATGACAGACATTACTAAAAATGATTTTTTTTGTGTGTGTAAAATGTTGTTAGGTGATCATATTTTTTTACAGATTCTGTTTATTTATTATCTATGAATTTCTATAACTTTTGGGGAAAGATAATGGAATGGTTTCCTGTTGTCTTCCCCATGGTTTTAAATTCAGAATTGTTTCTCTTAGACTAGATGCCACCTCAATCTAGAGAGCAGTCAACCTTGCTATTTACCCCATATTTGGGAGAAGAGGAAATGGATTCATGTCTTTCCTAAAGGCATTAGTGGGAAATGCATGCAACAGACTAATATAAATCTTAAACTCATCTTGCCAATTTCACTTTTTATGCTGATGTTACACTAGCCAGGATACACTTCATGATTAATTGCCTACTTTGAAGTTAACACATTAATTCAGTAAAATTGTGTTATTCAATAATAACTTTTTTTTATTGTCTAATTATTTTTCAAATGAAGTCCAAGAGAGTTTGTACAGGAAAATTTTATATATATATATATATATATATATATATATATATATATATAATTTTCTAATCATAACTTTGAAAATGTTCCAAGCATCCAGCTTCATTAGAAATTTGGCCAATGTATATATGTAGAGGAAAACACACCAAATAATTTTAATGTTTACATACACATTAAAAGTGTATTTGCTTTTTCTAAATAATTTACAGATCTGGTGTTAAATTTGGAAATGACTTTACATTTCTTTTAACACATTCCAACTCTTTTTCCCTCTGAAATAAAATCCAAACAATTGCCTTGTTTCATACTCATGAAAATAATCTATTCAATAATTCTCTGCAATACAATAATAAAAGAAGAAATTTACATATTCACACTAATGTGTGCAGTGTAAAATCTTTTTTTGCCAGACCCATAAACTTAAAATGATTGTATGTTCTATTTTTTAATTTAAAATGTACAACATAAATTTCTGTACAGATTTTGTTGCATGAAAAAATAAATTGTCCATTTTCCAACCTATTGAAAGTGGCTTGTACAAAATAATTTTTTTAACTTGTTTTTTAACTATATTTTGCAGCCTCTATGATTGCTGGTCGAACTGCTGAATATGTGAATGAGGTTCTTAGCAAAGTAAAAGATGGTGACCTCTCTGGTGGACTACCCCTCCCAAAGAGGAAATCAAGCTCTGCAACAACTGTTCCAAGCTCTGATGATGAATTCAGTAATGATTGATTTAGGCCTTGAATGAAAACAAGACAAGATTGGATTGGATCAGACCGGTGGTATCCATGTCCATATCTCTCTATTTCTCTTAATACCACAAGCCCCTACATACATACATACACACATACTCATCCTCCCTTTGGAGTTATCTTATTTACCAGGTTTGACCATATTTTCCTTTTCTTCTAACCCAGTTCCACTGAATGTTATAGATTCAATGAAATAGTTCAGAAGACATCAACTGTTACTTCCCTTTATTTCCAGATTGATATTACATAGTGTAAAAAAAATGCGCGCGCAAAAACATACATATACATGCATGCATACACCTTGACATTCATGAAATCCGGGATAATTATCTCACTATAATGGCATTGATCTTTGGAGACAAATGATTTTTTTATATTCACCGAAGAGAGAGAGAAAAAAAATAAATTAGAGAGATTGAGAAAAAGCCAAATTCAAATATTTTCAGTCACATGTGTGACAACTTTAAAAAGAAGAAATTGTTTCAGTAGAAAACACTTCAAGCTAAAACAGAAAAAAATTAAAAGATCACAGTTTATCTCAAAAGAATGAAAAGCACACATACAAGGAAAGAAAATGATATATCCAGCATTGTAAAAATTTACTGCTATGATTTTTTTTAGTGCAGAACTAGCAGTTGCATCTTCAACACTGTCTTCACCATTTCCAATACTTATAATAAATTTCAATAAGAACATCAGTTTGTGTTGGTTGTACACACTTTGGATACAGCAAAATCTGGATTATTACTGCTACAGTTTTATGTACTAGTCTGTACCTTTGTGAATAGCATAATTGGTCTAACATTGATAACTTAATTCCTACACTTTCTATTATCATTGTTATTTTTAAGCTTATAACAATGATAATAAATTGAAATGTAATAGTTATAGCAATAATATTGATGATGATTCTTTCTTACTGGTTATATTATCCAATTAAGCTTAAAATATAACTTGTGGCCCCAAAATAAATAGGCCACAAACTGATTTTTATAACTCAATAAATGAAGAGAGACCACTGTATGTCAATAGCATGTTTATTTTGTTTTTTATTAAAGCTTTTTTTTTTCTTTCCATAATTTTTTTTCTTTTTCTTTAATTCTCTGTTATTGCCTTATTTTTATTTTTTCTTGGAACTCTACTCATAAATGCATTTTGACAATATTCTCTATATTTCTATGCCAATTTTCATTCCTTTTTGACATATTCTTCAATTTTTGTTATTCTTAAATTTTACTTGCATATACAAGCATATTTTTGGATTGTTCTTATTGGTTTCTATTTCTGTTAATTATAAATGAACAATTTAATGTCTTTCTCTCTGTCTGTCTCTCAAAATAAAATCTAAAATTGCTGTTAATGTTAAACAATAAAATGAGAAAATATCTCTAAGCCACATAGTTTTTTAGGAGCATACACACCAATAATTTGTATGTCTATTGCTCTGACAGTTATGATGTTAGAGCATCCCTACAATTTATGTATGCATACTTATACACCATTTCTTAAGCTGTTTGAGACAGAAGATTCATAAAGCTATCATTTATAATCATATTTGTTTGAAGCATTTCTCTAACTTTATGCTTTTGATAAAAAGTTATTTCATGTTTATTATTATGTTTTTATTTTATTCTTATGTTTTTATTAAAAGTACAATAATTTTAAAAATAATTTCTAATATATAAACTTATATTAATATTATTATTCTTCATAAAATCAACTAGAGATTAATTAAAAAAGATTTGATAGGATTTTTCATAATGAAGTTTTCTTTCTCCTGATTAAGTGAAAACTGACAAATAATATTATTATTCTTCATAAAATCAACTAGAGATTAATTAAAAAAGATTTGATAGGATTTTTCATAATGAAGTTTTCTTTCTCCTGATTAAGTGAAAACCTAGTGCTGAAAAGTTATTGGTTCAACCCACTTCCCAAAATATGATGAAATGACCAAATAGATATTTTTGAAGGGCATCTTGGTTGGGCCAAGAAGTTTTCAGCACATTCTTGTATATGTTGTTCAAATTAGTATATGCCCTCAAAATAAATGTATTTTAACCAAATCTTAAATGTCAATGTTCTATAAGTCCTATGTATTTCAGTAGCCTATGAAAGCAAAATAGAATTTTGAAACTATTCCATTTTAAAATATTATGTTATAAAATTATTTTTTCTTTTCAATTACTAATTTATAAATGATCTACTATATTACCTAAAATTAATTGCTCTTCCAACAATCAACAATTTCATATCTGCTTTTATATGATTTCTATATTTTTCTTTGTATCACTGTGTTCATATATATATATATATATATATATATATATATATATATATATATACACACATACACACACATATGTAATTGAAGTATTGATGAACAAACAAGTTTATTATGTCTCATCAAACATAAAGACATCCACAGACTAATTAATTTTTATAATTATTATATTGAGTAACTTTTTTTTTTTGCCTAATTATAAGATTTATACATTGCTTTATAAGACCTATTAATGGGCACACACAAATTTTATAAAATTCAGAATGCTTTTAGCTATTGATTTAAAAATGGGATTAAAATATAACTTACACAATTCTGATTTTCTTATGTCTTACTCCAAATTGTTGTTTGTGAATAATTTTATAATGTAAATTTTAATTGAGGAAAGACTTGTCTTTTCAAAAGATTGCCACTCCCCCCACCTATTCCTCCCCTTCCTCCTGCATATATGCATGACTGTGATTGCAAAATAAGAACGGGTAAATTTGGGGTCTGTCAAAGAAAACAGGAAAATTTTAATAAGCAATAATCAAAGCCCTTTTATTAAAACTTATTGCAAATTCTGTTATCCACAATTATCATTGTTATTTGTAATTTTTATTATTTACTGGTGATACATTTGGACACCTTTGTTATATATTGATATAAATATTATCTTTTGTAGTTGTATATCATTAGCATCTATATATTATTTATTGTTTTTGACTGGGCTTAATGAAGGCTTATTAAATAAATGAAGGTTTTTAACTGTACTAGTTCAATATGTTTATAAAGAATATTATTTCATATTTTAACAGCTTCCATAGGACTTCAATAACTGTCTTAAAGATTCACTATTTTAGTATCTGTATTTACTTTTAAGTTTGTAATATTTTGGTAACTGGATCCAATGCTAATATAGTTAATGGCATAACAATTTTGCCTACTTTTAATTCTATACCAAGGAATTGTTATTTCTCAGTTTTTATTTACTGTTTTGTCTGCCATTGTTTGGGTATAACAAATCTCTTAACAGTGATTGATTTTGTACAATTATTATCCAAGTTTGACTTAAAAGAAACCCTGAGTGCTCAACAGAATTATTTTATGAAATTGCTGTTAATCTAAAACGTGTGCTTAGACATTTGTGGAATATTTTTTATTATCTCCATCTTTTTCTTATTTTCTAGTTCTAAATCATATTGCCTGATAATGATAGAAAAAAAGAGTCCATTTAAAATATTAAAGCAACCAAGGTTAAAAAAAAACAGATTCATCAACAAAACTTCAGAATTTGTATCTCTTTTACAGTCTCAAATTATCAGGTGTTTAAAATCCACTATTTAAAAATGGTGATTAGAAATTTATAACATTATACTTGGATACTATGGCTTATATATGGATTCAAACTTGACTTATTTTATATATCTTTTATGAATAATAATAGTAATATTAATTAAAAAGTGAAATTAATATCTTATTTGTTAAAGACATGTAAATTGATATTATTTGTTATATTAATCAGAGTAATGTCTCCTTGTTAAAAATATTTAAATTAATATATGACATGGTATATTGATATTCATAAACCATAAATCTCAATAACAACATTCTTATCTGAAAGTATAATTTTTTAAGTTTCCTTCCTATCATGTTATGATCAGCACTGTGATTCAACTATGCTGTATATACCACATATATTTATCAACATAACTGATGATAAAAAAATAACATAATTCTATAATTAATATCTATAATTTTTATATCAGTATTATTTCAGTTTTAGCTTTCTGGAACATTATTTCTCACTTGATTACCTAAGTTAAGCCTCATTCTATAAAAGGTGTATCACTAATGAATGACTACTTAAATGTTACAAGTGATAGAAAAAGAATGAAAACTCTGATAGTAAACTCATCAGAAGGTACGGATGAACGTTTGCTATAAAATTTGTTTTGACAATCTTTGCAGCAAAAGTTTTCATCTGGAAGCAAAAGAAGCTATAAAAAACAATTATTAATAAATATGATAACAGAATATGGCTGTGCTGCAACTACTAACTACAAAGTGATATTTTAAAATTATTCTTTTAACTTCAATTATAAATGGTTTTAACAATTTGCTTTATTCAATTATTCTTGTTTGTTTTAGTCAATATTTTAAATAATCTTAAATAAGCAATGATTTCTCAGTAGCCACCCAATACTTTTTTGAATGGCATCAAATTTTTAGCACTGGTATTTTTTTTAATTATGCAATAATTAATACAGTTTTATGCATTAATGTTAGTTGAAAATGTCTTTTTATTTGAATCTGAATTTATGTTACATAAGTAATAACTAATCTAATTGTATTAGCTATTATATATCTAGTATATGTATCGTTTGTTATTGTTTTATCTTTTAAGGTTAGTATGACAACCTTAATAAATAAAAATAATGATTAAAAATATTAATTGAAATGATCACTATGAATAAAAGCTGAACAGATATTTTAACTTGGTATAGATATTTTATGACTTCCTGAATTATTTTGAAAACTCTAAAAAATTTTATGGTAAAAGTAAAAATTAATCAAATTTAAATTATTCTATATCTAATTTTATTGCAAAGATATTGTAATTTTTTAAATGAGTGAATTATTTGCAAGATTTTGAGTTAGTGGTTTTTATTCACTACTTTCAAAGCTTATAATAATTATGTAAACTCATTAAGACT